TCTTGTGTTTTGCTCTAAAGCCACCATAATCTATTCAGTAAGATCTGCATCTGACCCATATAGATATGGATCCGACTTGTTTAGCTCAACTTCCTATTTTTCGATAATGTTTTTCCTTTTAAAAACGTATTTTACACTCACATAACAGTAGGCCAGTAGTAGTTGGCAGCTATGTCAGAAATTGAGCTAACATATGTAGTGAAGACCTGAACCCGAGTCCTTACACAAGTCATGTTAGATAGTTTGAATATCAACTGGTTATTGATTGGGTAGAATTTGAAATCACGGGTAAGATTTTATAATCATTTCAGATGCCAATTTTGTGTAGGACAGAAGACTCGCTGAAACAAAATAATCATAAACAAGAAGGCTATATTCATCTTAAAGCGGATGTGTATGAGAGTTGTGCAAACAGTTTGGCCCATGCTTGGGACATTCTTCAGCATTTCTACTTGTTATGTTTGGTTTACTCCCAGCCTGTATGTTATAAAATCAATGCGCATGACCTTGGATGACTTAACTCTCTGATTCAGTGTCTACTTATGACAATAATTTTTTTTTTGCTAAACTTCTTTAAATTATTTACAATTGTTTGAGATTCTGGTGTTAAAAATTTCTAACTATTCAAAGACTTATAATGATATGCTTATTTGGGGTTAATATCAATTTGATGTTCCTCATTTTATGGATGCTTTTAATATTATAATTTTCCAATGGGAAAGTGGATCCGGCTGCCAATATGTCCATAAATTTAGCTAAATAACATCATTTATTTCCCCATTATTTTCACCAGTTCTTGAGTTTGGGTGGCTTTCTTCTTCCCCTATCGTTATCTCAAAATATAATGAATATTAAAGGTGAAGCAATTTGGTGCAGCGTATCTGGGTGATTTGAACTGGAATTGGGGTGAACAGATGAGTGTTTGTATGTTTTTTTTTCCATTCTTGAAAATACTTGTTTGCAAGGAGAACTACATGTTGTTAATTTTAGTTCATGCAAAAATATGCACGGAATGCTTGATTTTTTGATCCAGATAGCTATTCATAATAGTATGTTACGACTTAAATTTATGCTGAATGTATCGATGTGCTCTTTGCAGGAGCGTGAGAAAGCTTTAAATTCCTTCAAGCGAGGTTGGGCTCCAATCATGGTAGCTACATATGTGGCTGCTTGTGGTCTCGATATCCCTCACGTGGCTCACATGATCAACTTTGATCTCCCTAAAGACAGATGACTACGTGCATCGAATTGGCAGAACATGCAGAGTTGGCAAATCCGGCATAGCTACAACATTCTTCAACGATGGAAACCAATCAGTGGCCAAGTCTCTAGCTGAGCTCATGCAGGAAGCAAACCAAGAAGTCCCAGATTGGCTTGTAAAGTATGCTAAAAGATCAAGTCGAAGTGTGTTATAATTATTGATGAACATGTTTGTTATAATTATTGATCAAGTCGAAGTTTGTTATAATTATCGATGAACATGTTCATTGGTATTTTCATGGAAGGATAAGTTTATTATTGAATGGAAAGTTTTAATGGATAAGATCAAGTCAGAAGTTTGTTGCCCCGTAGGAAAAATGTGATTCCATTGTTTTAGTTGGGATACAAACAACAAACTTGGGCTCGCCAATCCCACTTTTTCAAATTGCGATACAAAAACAGGGCTCGCCCATCCCACTTTTTCTAATTGCAATACAAAAACAGACTTGAATACGCACATCCCACTTGATTAAAATATTTTAACTGATATATAAATCAAACCAGGATTTCTACTTAATTAAAAAGAAATGAAAGATATTGAACCTAAATATTTATTTTTTGGAAAGCATTATATTCTAATAATGTCTACTTAATTTGGGTGCATGTAGCGGTTGTGTGAACAAGCTTAAGACATTTTCAAAGGCAATAGCACTCAAAAAGAAAGTATGCAACTCTGATTATCAATTCAATCAAGATGATAAGCTCACAAATCAAAATAAAGGTCCTGCAAAAAAAAAAGAATCCAAAAAAAATCAAAGATACAAATGAGACTTTGAAAATGTAAAAGTTTCAAAAAAGTACCATTAAAGTTTGTTGACTTAAAAAAGATTCTAAAGACAAATGTAGCAAGTGATTCTCTTGTGGATCTTCAACAAAAAATGGGGCGGTTTAATGCAGAGAATGCTAAAGATAGCAGGTGATATTTAAAGGGAAGGACAAAGTTTAATAAGTGTATTGGAATTTATATGGGATTTTGAATTTTTCATGCGTGAATATATACATTACATATTTCAAAGGCTTAGTCAAGCTTCTAATGCCTTGAGCTTGGTTTTACATCCACATCATCAAACATTACTTTTAGGTATATTCTTGTGACAATATTTGATCGATCGATCACGTTATAGATGCAACCAATGTACTATCACCCAATCAATCACTAAATGTAATTTCATTGTTCAAATGTTGAATTTTTACCTTATATCTATATGTTTGATCCATTGCTTACATCTATATGTTAAGTCTCATTATGAATATGATAAATTTTTTTACTATCAATTCAAAGAAGATAGGATAATTAGAATAAATTAGGATAACAATATAATATTAAATAAAATTAAGGGTAATATTGACAATGGAAATGTTTTCCCGAACTCGTACTTTTAAAGATTATATAAAGAGAGTATTATATATATATAGGTAAAAGCTTATGTCAACTTAAGTGGATAGGAATGAGTCATCCACCAACTTTTTTATCCGTTGATATTCACTAGTACATTAATTACAACTTTGGCTAGGCTACTCTGGTAATCTAATCTAAGAAACTATAGAGAGGGGAGAGGACCCTGGCCGTCACCCTTTACTATAGGAAACCTAGAAAGAATCCAGATTGACCCAAAGCCCAAAAAAATAACATAGTACCATCAATTACAGAAACAATAAACCAAGCTCTCAAAAGAAAACACTATCTTCACAGTTTGTCATAACCCCAATTTGTTAGAATATCAGAATTTCTAACCTTCCAGTTGCACGTTTTAAGCAAAATATTGATGTCTTCATAAATTCTCCTAAACACCATTATCTTGTGCATCTTTTGATCATGAAATATCCTTCTATTCTTTTCCTGCCATACATGCCATACGGTTGCATTCATGGCTAATCTAGCCAATATGTAAGATTTATCTTTCAACTTGAACTTGCGTTGGATGTCCAGAGCTTCTATTCTCAGGTCCTTATTATCAGTAGCATTCAACTGCAGTTTTAGTTTGCAAAGTTTCTAGATAAAAGCTGAGAAATGGCATTGGAAAAATAGATGATCCCTAGACTCCTTCGCTACATTACAGAGTACACAAACTTCAGATGAAGATATCCCAAATTTAAGCATTCTATCTCTAGTTGCCAACCTGTCATATAAACCTTTGAGCAAGCAACAAGACATCCTAGGATTTGAAGAAGGAAACCATACCACATTGTAAAGTTCAAATATAGAATAGGAGCTTCGTACGTGATTCCAAGCCGAAGAAAAAGAAAACACCCCGTAATTGAAATATTAGCAATAGAAGGCAGTAGAGAAGTTAGGCATGGCAGCATAACATTCCATTGAAAGTTTTGTATGATGCGTGACACTGTCCAAGTACTAGTGCCTGTGTGTTGCGGGGAGAGATGATGTAGTAGATCAATAATTCTTCCTTCCTGTATCCATGGATCATACCAAAGGGAAGTTGTCTCACCATTTCCGATAGCTTTTCTAATGCAGCTCAGAGCTTTCTCTTTGGTATTAGATAAATGCTTCCAAGTTCCAGAGTCCAATATATTAGATGTAGATTCCCAAAAGTTACCTCCCTTAACATATCTGACATTCATCCAATTTGTCCAAAGCGTATTAGAAGTTAGGAGTCTCCATATCAGCTTTAAAGCTGCTGCTTGACAAAGGTCATCCAATTTCCTCAGACCAAATCCCCCTTCCTTTTTTGGCCGACAAACCTCCTTCCAGTTGATAGCATGAAGCTTCCCTATCAAAAGGAAATTTGCAAAAATAGCTTCCAAACTTTTCACAATAGATCGAGGAAAGTTATAGACAAAATACCAATAGGCAGAGGTACTAAATAGGACTGATTTAATGAGTTCCAGTCTTCCTGCAAAAGATAAGGAGTGTGTCATCCAACCCTCAATCTTATTCCTAACTTTGTCAATTAGAGGAAGAAAATCCTTCGCTTTTGGATAATTAACTGATAAAGGTAATCCCAAGTATTTCATAGGTAGATTTCCTCTTGAAATTCCCACAATAGAGCTTAAAACACCTTTATTTTTGCACCCTTTACTGAAAAATATCTTTCTCTTGCTTCTATTTATACTCAGTCTAGTATTCAATTCCATAGAGTACAACAAAGTGTTGATACCTTCAAAAGACTTTTTATTTTCTCTACAAAAGACCAACATATCATCAGCAAATAAGATATGAGAGACTTGTAGATCCTGGTGCTTTTTAAAAATTTGTATATTCCCTGAAGTAGTAGCTAGTTCCATGCCAATAGACCAATATTCCATAACTAACACAAAGATATATGGAGATAGAGGACCCCCCTGTCTTATACCCCGATTACTTTGAAAAAAACCTGAGGAGGAGCCATTTAACAGGACTGAAAAAGATGGTGTTGAAAGGCATTCCCTAATCCATTTGATCCATTTAACTGGAAAACCCATGCAGTGCATGATATAGTATACAAACTCCCTGTTGATGCTATCAAAAGCCTTGTGCAAGTCAATTTTCAAACAGGCTCTCTTCCCATGATTCTTATTGAAATCTCTAAGCAACTCATGAGCCAGTAATGAACACTCACCTATCTGTCTCCCTTTGAGAAAAGCATGTTGATTCTTAGAAATCAACTCATCCACCACCAACTTTAGCCTATTGCTCAAAATCTTAGTAATAATTTTGTAAAAGACATTGCAACAAGAAATTGGTCTATACTCATGAATGGAAGTGGCTTCTTTTGATTTTAGCACAAGTGTGAGGAATGTATGATTTATCTGTTTAAGAATTTTACCTGATGAGAAGAAAGATTTCACTGCCAAGACAACATCATCTCTGATCATGTCCCAATTTTGTTGATAAAAATATGCATTGAAACCGTCTGGTCCTGGTGCCTTATCTGGATTCATTTGGAAAAGAGCATCCTTAATCTCCTTGTAGTTAACTTCCTTAATTAACCATTGTTTAGCTGCATCTGTGAGAATCCTCTTCACTGTCAATTTAGGAAAAACATTCCAATAGGATGTTTGATTGAACAGTCCTTCATAGAAATTAGGTGCAATGAGTTTAATATGGTCAGTAGAAGAGGTATGTGAACCATCTTGGCCAATCAGTTGTCTGGTATTATTTGCAGAATTCCTATGCTTGATAGCATTATAAAAGAAAAGATTGTTTCTTTCCCCTTGCTATAGCCATAGCTGTCTACTCTTTTGCCTCATCTCCTCCTCTTCTCTACCTAGCCAACCATCAAGTTCAATACATAGAGCAGATTCTGTATCCTGTAAACCCTCATTTTCCATGTCCTGATTTAACTCTTGTTGAATTATTTCCAGCTGCTTTGATAACCTCATAATATTTGCCTTAGGGGATATAGCTGAATGTTTAGACCAGAGTTTCAGAGCTAACTTTAGCTCTTTTAGCTTAGAAACCAATATGAACATAGGGGAACCTGTAAAATGTTTGCCCCAAACATTTCTGACAACTTCCGCATAACCTTGACACTGCATCCAATAGTTAAAAAACTTGAAAGGCTTAGGCTCTGAATTTATACTGGGCATAAGATGGAGAAGAGCTGGGGTATGGTCACTTGATGAGGTACTTTTATACTCTATAAAAGCTTGAGGAAATTGATCAATCAATTTTGCATTTCCCAGACCCCTATCTAGTTTTCCATAGATTCTGCATCTACCCTGTTAATTATTATGCCATGTCCAGATTGAACCGATACTTTTGATATCAGAAAGACCGCAAAGTTGTATACAATCATTAAACTCTTGAAGCTTCTTGACAATCAGTTGAGTACCACCAATTTTTTCAGAGGTGAATCTACAAACATTAAAATCTCCCACTAGCAACCATGGCATTGTGTGATATTGACTATAGATATCTCTAATATCAGCCCATAATGATGATCTAGTTGATTCTGAATTTTCACCATAGATGACACTCAAAATTAAAGTGAAACCTCCCTTGTTTTGAAGTCTAATTGTGATTTGTTGCAAAGTGACAGAAATCACTGCACCATTCCGGATATCTGCATCCCATGCCACCCATATTCTTCCTCTACTAGAAGCAATATAATTGTTACAATATGACCAATGAGTAGATATGCATGTGGTAAGTCTGTGAGCTTTAGGTGACTTAACTTTGGTCTCTAACAATCCAACAACACTGGGCTTCAAAGATTGAATATGTCTTTTAATATCCCTTCTCCTACCCAATTTGTTCATGCCTCTAATGTTCCAAAATAACATGGTCATGAGATATTAGCTGAGGAAGCCCTTGTAACCCTCTTTGGGCCTAAAGAAGATTCTTTATTCGTTTTGACCAGGATTTTCTTCTTCATAAGCAGTTGATCTTTTTCATTTAACCAGACTGGATTATCAATAGCAATAGGGAAGTCTATACCTATCTCATTTACTTTTCCCCCACCAGATTGTAAAGTATCAATAAATGCTGTATTTATGTTTGGCCTGGTCTGATTGATTACTCTCAGTAAGAGGAACAATAGAAACTGAAGGGTCAGAGGTGCCTGAGATGTGAGCTACAATACCTCCTTTATCAATAAAGCCTGAGTTTGCAGCATCATCCTTCATAGCCTGAGACATCCTATCTGTGGTATCTGTTTTATTTGTGGAATTATCTTGCGTAGGTTGCTCCTTAGCATTTAAACATATGTTTTTAGCTTGTACTACAATACTTTGATTTACCAAATCATGATCCAAGAAATCCTCAGAATCTGAAAAAAACATCATTAATAGTAGCTTCATCATTAATAGCAGCACCATCATTTATTTGCCCCTCATTTATAATAGCAACCTCATTAATTAGATCAACATTATCTGTAGTTAATTTATCCCCAGAAAAATCAGATTTATCTGAATTGGTAGCAACAAGCTCTAGTTCGGAGATGTTGGCTAATGCATCAAAAAACCCAGTATCTTTGTTGTTATCAGCTTCATTTGAAGTTGTATTAGGGACCCATTTCTCAACTAGAACAACCGGACACTGATACTCAACATGTCCAAAATTTTGACATTTGCTACATTTAGGTGGAACTCATTCATACTCCATGGTAGTTTCTAACCATTCACCATTACCTAAATCCATCCTTACAGAATTTGGAAGCTTAGCTTTTGATGAGATTTCCACAAAACATCTAGCGTAGGCTAATCTTTCACCTGATGTTGTTGCTTGATCTATATAAAGAGGATTACCCACAAGGCTAGCAATTCGCCCAATAATATTATTAGACCATAGTTTGAGATGTAGCGATGGGAGTCTAATCCAAACTGGAACTGAGGTAAGGAGCTCTCGCTCTAATCCAATGTTCTCCGACCATTGTTTTAAAATAATCAACCTGCCATCAAACAACCAAGGCCCACCATTCAAAACCCTGTTTAACTCTTCCTTGCATCCAAATTTAAAGAAGAAGAAGCCATTCTCTCTAGAATATATATCAAGAGAGCATGTTAGTTTCCATAGGCGACCAACACAACCTTTTAGATGGGAATAGAAAGGTTTATCTGCAAGAACATAACCAATCAATGTGTTATTCCATTTGTCAACATTGAGAAGAATCTCAAATCTCGGAATAGAAGCATATAGAAGACCATTTCTGTCAATGGAGGGAGGGAAATATTTTAAGGAACAATTTTGATTTACCTCTCGACCCATTGTACAAACATCCTTCCATGATGTGGAACCAACAACTTTGAATTTCCAGTTTCCTGTCTGTTGATGCGAAGATTGATGAACTAATCCTTTTGATATTGATTGTTGAAGCCTACCAACATCCTTTTTCGGTTCATATTGATCGTTCTTACGGAGATTTCCATTATATCTAGAATCACTAGATTCTGGAAAATTATTTCGATGTCTTCTTTTACGAGAAATAACATTGATCCAATCTTGATTACCCTCCTCATAAGCGGCTAATGTTCCATTTGGATTGAAGGGAGGTCTAAGATCCTCTTGACCTGAAGAAAGAACCTTCTCCGGCTCTGGCATGGCCGAAGCCATAACGGAGAACGCCAAAATCGTCGGATCGCCCAAAATCGCCGCCGCTATATATATATATATATATATAGGAATGTGACAAAATGAGATGGTGAACTCAGATTCTTATCGTGAGCTAGCCCAATAGGCTACTCGAAACGATGTCAATCTTTTTTGCAAATTTGCCCTCATAGCCAAATATTTGCTAATGTACCCCACAAATCTCTTGCATTGTTTTTCTTTCTACTCCTCTATCACTAGTAGAAAAAACACCAATCTAGATGGAACAACCTAGACGGAAAAAATTTCCATCTAGGTTGAGTTAAACATCCTTAAGAAGTATGATGTTGCTTCTTGTCAATCTTTTTTGCAAATTTGCCCTCATAGCCAAATATTTGCTAATGTACCCCACAAATCTCTTGCATTGTTTTTCTTTCTACTCCTCTATCACTAGTAGAAAAAACACCAATCTAGATGGAACAACCTAGACGGAAAAAATTTCCATCTAGGTTGAGTTAAACATCCTTAAGAAGTATGATGTTGCTTCTTGTCCTCTCATAGGCAAATATTTGCTAATGTACCCCACAAATCTCTTGCATTGTTTTTCTTTCTACTCCGCTATTTCAAATATTTCTAATTAAGTTAATTTATAGGATTTTTTTTTTCTTGGAAACCAACTTCAGAATAGGTCTATTTTATAGGAAACACATTTTATTTTCAATTTATATGCAAATCATGTTTAAAGTGGGTTTTTGTTCTAATCAACCGCCTCCTAGCTAAATCTTCACTAAAAACCAAAAATAATCTTAATAAAAATATATGTTTAAAGTACGTGGCTTGCATCCTAACAAGACCTAAATGTTAACAAACTGAGTCATGTGTTTCGAATGTAAATCTTTTAGGGTATTTTAGATTTTTAGTAAAAATTTCGACTAGAAGACGGTTGATTGGAATAAAAACCACTTTAAATGTGGTTTACATATAAATTAAAAAAAATGAAAGATGGTTCATATAAAATGATCCTATTTTCAATGTGGTTTCTAGGAGAAAAAATCCCTAATTTATAATTACATAATTAGAGAGAGAAAGATAAGGAGAGGAGAGAGAAATATAGAGGGCAGGAGATGGTGGGGGGCCTTTCTCTTTCCATCTGTTATGAATGTATAGAATTAATTAACTTTTAAAGAGATATCAGTGACGTTAAAAAACTGAGAGGTGAAAAACCAATGCAAGACATTTTGAGGGTAATTTATCAAATACCCTAGTTTGAAGGGCCCATTTACAAATACGATTAATTTGCAAAAGGAACCACGACCAGAATTTATACAGGGTTTCGGATTTGAGTGTTATATCACCCGACCCGCTGTTACCCCTCCATCTTTGGTTTCAAATGTTGAAAGTAGGGCTGAGCATGGTTCGGTCCAAACCGAAAAAACTGACCGAACCGACCCGACCCGATCCAAAAAATCGGTTTTATGAGTAGGGCGGTTCGGGTCGGTTTGAAAATTTTTCAACCCGATCCGACCCGAACTGACCGAATATAGTGTAATACTAACCATTCTAATCTCAAACCCCACCCGATCCTTCCCCAAAGAGTTAAAGACTCAAACCCTAAACTCATTTTCTGAATCACTATGGGTTGAAAATAATATCATTATATCAGTATTTAATGCTTCATAATCTCCTACTTTGTTGATATTATTTTTTTCTTTAACACAGTTTGTTATTTGATAAGAAATTTGATGAAATTAGAACCGAACAAACCGAACCGAACCGCACCGAACCGACTTGCAACAGTTCAGTTCGGTTTTGAATTATAAGCGGTTCGGTTCGGTTGTTTAAATTTTGGTAAAAACCGAACCGAACCGACCGTTGCACACCCCTAGCTGAAAGGAGTGAGCCTCCTCAATGCCGACGCAAAATACATTCATAAAAATTAAGTCCCCTTTTCTCTTCTTACCAAATAATATCAAGATTTTAGGCAAGAACAAACCCGGAAAAGAATCCCTCGAACGAATTATACAGTTCAAATCAAATGGGTTCTCAAACTCAAACAATGCTCTTGCTTCAACCCAAATGATCAAATCGCATCACACCATTAACCAAAGCAAGCACACTCTAACCCCTCTCACTTCTCTCATTGATCACTGCCTCTCCTTCAACTACTCTCCCTTTCTCGCCGAAGCGATCCATGCCCTCTCCCTTAAACTCGGCCTAAACCGCAACACTTTCATCGCTAACCGCCTTTTGAACCTCTACTCTCACCTTAGCCTTACCAGCTCCACTCTCCGACTCTTTGAAGAAATACCCACCAAGAACACCTTCACCTATAATATTCTCCTTTCTGGGTTTCTTAAATCAGGCCGAATTGTTAATGCCCGCCACCTGTTTGCTGGAATGCCCGAGAGAGATTCTGTCACTTGGAACACAATGATTTCAGGCTATGCTTCTATGGGTATTGTTGATGAGGCATTTGGGGCCCTTTATCGGATGCAAGAGAGCGGAACTAGACCCACTGGGTTCACGTTTTCGATTGCTGCGTGTTGTGTGACTAATGTGTGGCTAGCGAAACAAGTACATGCTAATGCTTTTAGGAACGGGTTTCATTTTTTGGATACAGTGATTGCTAATTCTTTTATTAGCATGTATGGAGATGTTGGACTCGTCGAGTATGCTTGTACTGTGTTTAGGGTTATGGGGAACCGAGATCTAGTTTCTTGGAATACTATGATGTCCGTTTTTGGTGACCATGGCCAATGTGATCGAGCTCTGGGGTGTTTGAGGGAAATGAGGGCTTACGGGTTATCGTTGGATGCTTTTACAATCTCAACGGCGATTAGTGTTTGTGCTGACAATGGTGATTTGCCTAAGGGTGAGCAATTATTGGCTCATTGCTTCAAGATCGGTTGCATTTCGAATTCTATTGTTTCTAGTGCTATTATTGACATGTATTCCAATTGTGGCAGACTGGACGATTCCATTCGGCTCTTTCAAGAGATGGAGATGTGGGATTCGGCCCTCTGCAACTCCATGGCATCAGCTTATGCTCAAAATTGGCTTGTCAGTGAAGCTCTGAAGCTATTTGTGGTGGTAATTAGGGTAGGAATTATGCCGACAGAGTTCACATTTGCCAGCATTCTGAGCTCCAGTTCATGTTTCGGTTTAACTGAGCAGGGCACACAAATTCACTGTTGGGTTGTTAAGTTGAATCATGAGACAGACAGGATAGTTGCAAGTGCTCTTGTTGACATGTACACAAAGTTGGGTGCGATAGAATCTGCAATGAGAATCTTCTTTTCAATGGCCACAAAAGACTTGATCTCTTGTAACACCATGATACTGGGCTTAGCTCGGAATGGTCAAGCGATGCTGGCTCTAAGAATATTTGAGCAAATGCTCGTAAAAGGTCTCCAACCTGATCGAATAACTTTGATTGGTGTTTTAACTGCTTGTGGCTATGGAGGCATGATAACTGAAGGAAAGAATTTATTTTTATCAATGAAAGAGAAGTATGGAATTGCTTGTAGCCTTGAGCATTATGCATGTATAATTGACATGATGACTAGAGCAGGGAGTCTGAGAGAAGCAATGGAGATTATAGAGACTATGCCACACAAACCTACTTTATTCATTTGGAATTTGCTTCTAGAAGCTTGCAGGATACATGGAGATATGAAATTTGCAGAAATTGTTGCAGAGAAGGTAATGGAACTGAAACCTTATTTCCCACTCCCTTATACCGTCCTGGGTCAGATGTATGGTATGAGAGGAAAGTGGGAGAGCGTGGCTAGAGTTCAGAAGGCAATGGCTGAGAGAGGAGTAAAGAAGGTCAGTGGATGTAGTTGGATCGGTGTACGAGATTGTATCTTTGTTTTTGAATCTGATAGCATATTGCATCATGGAGGAGAAGCTACTTACTCTTTATTGCGTTTATTGGTTTGGGAGATGAAGGAAGAGGGATATGTTCCCGAACAACATTCAGAATTTGAGTATGGATGATAGAGAAGATTAATAAAAGGATAATAGTGTTTAGTTTTCTATGGTTTATTGAATGTGGTTACAATGAAACTAAGTACAGAATGCTCCGACATTTTTACCACAACCATATAAAGGAAGTCTTACCTTATGCGATTAAGAGCAGAAATTATTGGTCCCAAAGTGGAAGTATTCCTGCTCCTTTGGAAATCTACCTTATGTTCCTAAGAGCAGAAATTGCTAACTGTATTGTTGACTTACACACTTCACAAGGTCTTTTGCTGCCTGTCATGGAGAAAGTCAGCTTATATTATCAACATAGAGCATGTAGAAAGATAGTTCTTTTGCTGAATAGACCATTTCTGCAAAATACCAAATATACAGTGTTAAGAGTGATCTGAGAGAAAATTTGCACGTTATATATCTCTTGGTGACAATATATGATCTCTCACCTGATCGAATGTTGATGGAAGGTCTGAAGGCGAAATTATGCCAATTTGCTTTCAGAAGTACCTTAATAAAGAGAAAACTGGAACTAAATGTGGAGGAGGATTCCATCCAGGCAAATAATGGTTATTAATGCTCAGGTTGTTTGGGAAAATTATCGCGTCTTTTTGAAGGTAGTTTTGAGAGAATGGTAAGCCAAATGTCATCTCAGGTTGTACCTGTTAGTTCACCTGCAATTGGTTATTTTCTGCAGCTCCTATGTTAATTAAGCTTCTGCCTGTTGTGGCAGACTTAGTGAGAAGATTGTCTCTGTCAGTTATCCCCATGGTTAAGATCATGTTGGCAAGTAAGGACTCCGATGGACTTTACCTTGTAGAACAGGAGATACCATATATGAGGGCACCCAATTGGTAAGAGGAATAATTCCTACTTATTCACCATCTCTTGGCTTTCCTAATATTGTTAGAAAATGATACTGGACTTGGAAATTGAAATGTTCACCTTGAGCTGCATATCATGCGATTACATTCACTTTGACATTCTCGTTTGCGACAAATTTTGTTAATAAGAGGTTCTGCTCAACATTTTAAAATACAGCTGTCTTAATATTTATGCTGAGCTTTGTCTGCATTAGGTCCATAGTCCGTAGAGTTCACATTGGGTTTCTATCTTTTTATTTCTTTAGAATTATGGCTTTTCGTTCAACATGGCCATCAAGATGGTTGTAAACTTATCTTACATTTCTGTCAAAGAAACTATCATAGGTATCACTGATCCATTGCATTGAGAGCAATAGTTTTGATTTTTGGGTTTTATGCCTTTTAAGTTACGCAGATCATAATTGGCGGTATCAGGTACCCTGCGCTTATATAGGGATCTGAATTTCTTCAGGCATCATTTGGTCAACTCATTCTTCCCTCAATACTTCATCACCGCATGCTGCCTGTAAGCACTCCGTATCTGAAACAACAGCAGTCTTATCTCTACGAAAAATACGTGAATAGACTTTACACCATTTTTTCCCCAGTTGTAAGAAGAGGTGACTATTTGTTCCTGCATGATTAAGGCGGACTCTCCTCCACAGGGAAGAAGTTCTGTCTATACATATTTGCTACTCTCCAGGTTCATCTTCAGACAGGTCCTGTTGCTGCCACGAATGACTTCATTTTAACAAATCTGCATTTAGATAATCACCTCATGTTTGATAATTTAAACTTAAATTCTCTCCACATTGCATTATAATCAGCATATGGAACTTCTCATCACCCATCAAGTTGTGATCAGGTTAATGTGCATGAAAGATGCCTTGCGCACATCGACTTAGCAGTTCACAAGAAATTCTGTGTTTTATTCTAGTTTCCTTTTCTTGTTAGAAATTCTGCCAATTTAGAGTGTTTGTAAATTCACATATTCTATTATTCAAATATTCCATGATTGCCTAAATCACACTAAACCCACAATAACTTTCGGAGAAAACCCCCAAAAGTTAACACCATTACATTTGACGCGGCACATGCGACCCATGTGACTTAAAAAGATCAAAATAGCCCTAAAATTATTAAAAAACCCATTTAGGACCTTTTTTATATTTTCAATCCTAATAATAGAAATATCTCATTTTTCGTGATTCGTTTCCTCTGCTAGTGTTTTTTTTTTTAAAATTAACTCTTTAGTATCATTCAGCAAAAGAAGAAAAGAAATAAATGCTAGTCTTTTAAATAAAGTTCATTAGTCTTAATCCCAGCACAACATCGCAATAATGCCAAAAATTTTCAATATGTTGCTTTCTGTAATCAATTAGATTTTCAAATCTGAGATAATCAATATGCAAAATCTTAGATGGAGTATTATTACGTCCAAATCGTCTGTTCACAATTAAGAACATAACTTGAACGTCCATGTCCGGTCTAACTCACAATAAATAAATCCTGTAAGGTGGTGGATAATCCTTTTCCTCCAAATATGACACAAATATCTAAACTTCTAGGCATAGTACATATCCGGTTATTGCCTGAAATGCTCTTAATTATGAAAATAGACCTGTATTCTCATTGGCCTAGCTTAGAGCAAGTGCAGCACCTCCCAAGGAGGCTCTTAAGAGTGACGTGACAAGAAAAAGCTCCCAACATGCTCCAACAAGCTCCCAACGAGACTCCTAAGTCCTAGTTGGCGGTGGGGTCCACCATGGAGCTCCTAAGAGCTCCACAAAATTGTGGAGCACTTGGGAGCTCCTAAGGGGTGGGGACCCACTAAAAAATATTTTTTATTAGATTTATTATTTTAAAATATATTTATAAAATGTTAGAGGTAGAATAATGGATTTTTTAAATAATATTTAAGCTCCTAATTGGGAGTTTGTTGGAAATTTTGTGCTAGTAGGAAGCTTCTAAGTGGGCCCCATGCTTGAGAGCACTCCAATAAAAGCTCCCTACTAGGAGCTTGCTGCCCTTGCCCTTAGTCTAAGTTCAGTCTTGAACCATGTTGCAGTCTTCAATTAGCATTTTACTTGTGTCCTTCATTAGAAAATTTCTACAATTTCATTTCTATTCATGCGCATATTATTAAAACCTCATTTGAAATTAGGTTTTTTAAGATATTGGTCACCAAAATCTCATATTTTTTAAAGAAGTCCCCCAAAAATTGATATTATAAAATAAGTCCCTAAAAATCCATTGGTTACCACAAATTAGTCCCTTGAGTTCTGATCCACTAGTTTAACCGTAAAATAAAGTATTGGGATGAGTTTTCTATTATTCCGTTTTATCCTTCTGTCAATATCCCTTCACTCGACCCTGTAGTGGCTTAGGCCGACCCCCCCCCGCCCCCCCAACGCTCCGCCGCAAGCAAAAAAGGACCCTACACAAACAAATGAAATCTAACAGTGAAGGCAATGGTTTTTTGTAGACACATTAAAAACTGCACATTGGACACAAAATCTCCAGCATACTTTAATGGATTTAGAAGAAGTTGCCTTAGTGATCATTAGAAGGGTAGGGTTCAAGACTGTAGTTTAATGGCAAAACAGAAAACTACTATTATGTGGTTAAACTAACAGATATAAACTAAAGGGACTAAGGGCCTATTTGGCTTGGTAAAAGTACTGTAAGTAGGAAATAGATCAAAGAAATAACTTTTAAATTTATGAAGTATAAAGTAAAGGAAGTAATACTTTTTTATTTGTTTCATATATTTTTTGAAGTAGTGGAAATAGTACTTCTTATTCTTTATTCTCTTTTTTTGTTTCGATAGCAACGAAAAGTTGTTAGGGAGTAACTAATAAAAGAAATATTAATAAAAAAATTATTATTTTCTTAATTAATGCACATTTCACTTACTTCTGAGCCTTAAGAGGCAGAAAAATATTTAGGAAGTAGGGATGACACGTAAGCGCCACATTAGTGTTTAAGGAAGTACTGAAAGTAAGTTTTTCAGATAAACAAACATGTTTTTTTTTGCTCGGAAGTAGCAGAAATATCATCTGCTTCCTTTATTTTAGCTACTTCATAGTTAGTTCTGTGCAAACAAACATGACCTAATCTGAGGCAACCAATGATTAATTTTGGGTGACTATTTTATTACATCATTGCATATTTACATGACCAGGTTAGCTTTTTGGTCCTGGGTTCTGCTCTCAACTCTGAACAACAAATTATGGATTTTGATTTAGATAGTCAGATGATGAAGATCTCTTGATAGGTGTTAGCTTTCAGTATCTCCCAATGCGAAGGCGGAAAGCAAGTCCATAGTTGGCCTTCCCTTTAAAAGGACCCAACAAATATATCTTCCGTCTTGTTTTACTAATAATAATAGGCTGGGAAATGCTGGGTATCTATTGCAACCTACTTGGGGAAATAATATGGTATAAGTAGCATTCTGGAAACAGGTTGTTCAACTTGATATGATAACAGAGGCTAATCAATAATATGAATCAGAATTCAATTGACAAAGCTGAGCACACGTGTAGTATGATCGAGTATGGAAGTATGATGTTGCTTCTTGTTCTGCTAAAGAGAAACTGCTGAAAGTTATATATGACTAGTTGTTTTTGTGTTTGTATTGGTAAATTTGATAGTTAATAGATATTTGGTGTATATAAGGACCTATGAGACAGTAACCTTAACATTAATGATTGGTCACGCTGGATTAAATAGGACATGTGACGCAAGACAGGATAAAGGAAAACACTAATGCCAAATGAATCAAGCATCTGTGTAATCAAGCAATCACACGGATGCTAACCTAGAAAGCAACTAAGTGCATGAAACTAGTCATGTATGTAAAAGTCTAATAGGATCCTAAGTATGGATGCAATCCAATTATATGCATGCAATGATCATTTAAACAAGATCCACAAATAGAGAACAATAACCAATGATATTCATAAATTGACTACAAGTTCTTTAGCGTTACAGAGGCAAGGTTTGGATATGCGAATATGCGATTATGATTAGAGATCACCTAAGGATGTAAGGAACTCACACCAAATCGTATAAGATCCGAATCAGAATTCAGTCGAAAGGCTCTGTTACAAACTTGGTGAACTGTTCCACGAGTTTGAGGAACCAACAAGGTCTCAACAACTTAGATCTGAGTTTATCACGCACTCTGTGGAGATACTGTTCATGTGAACAGTGATCGGCGGCCATTGACAGTGATTGACGGTTGATGAAGATGTGAGAATTGCGCGGTAGTATCGGTGCAGAGCGTGAACAGTACCAGACTTACTATTCACGTGAACAGTATGGCGAGGTCTTGAAAGGAGATATGGTTTGTTTGAGTGGAGGATTGGATATGGGTTGAGGATATGATGGGAGGCTGTGATTTGATCAAAATAATTAAAATAAAATGGGCTTCACACCCAGGCTTCACACCCTCAAAGCAATTCACATGCTAATATAAAACCCAGAATTATCATATCAAAACAGTCTGCCCTTACTGAGGCCTTTTACATCATTATTTATAACCATAACAGAATCAAATTAAATCCCTAAATCACGTTCAGATCTTAGAAAAAATAGAACTAATATAAAATCATATCAATTAAAATCTCTGAGATCATGACGAATATTTCCAGAATCAATCAATATCCTCCAAATCCAATCACTTGTTTCTTTCTCCTGGAATATGCTCTCCATGGATTCCCATCAACTCTCACTGGCTTTGAAACATTCGCCTCTGGTTAATGACGGCGATGATAAGTGTATAGTGCATCCGGATTGAGCTGCTCAATCTCCTCAGTCTGTAGCCAAGTGCAATCTGAATCAGGTCGCCCACGCCATCGGACTGGATATCTCTGAAAACCGCCATCTGCTGTCGAAACAATCTTATCCTGTAAAATATCCTCGATCTCCTCTGGTGGACGTCTCTTTAGGTACTGTGACGCCCCTGGGTTCACACAAGGCTGCAGTCC